CATTTTTTAGAAATGACGGATTTTTGATATGTTAAGCATGATTTTTGATGATTTAGTGCATTAAAATAGTGAAAAAGTGTAAAAATCAAGTTTAGGCAAAAAGTTGCACCAGCGTCGACTTCTTACATACTACTATGGAACAAATAGGAAGATTAGGAAGAAAAGCCAAATTTCAATGATGATGCTAAATGAGAGAAGTTCAAAGCAATAGCAAAGGAATTAAAACAGATGCTCTTTCGCTCCGCGTTAGCCTTCTAAGAACCAGCCGTCTGGGTTTTGAATTCTAATCGCATAAACTCTATTAGAGGGACAATATAAGATGAAACAAAAAAAAAGAAGTGAATGAATGGATGTATAGAGAGAGAGAGAGAGAGAAAGAGAGAGAAAGGGAAAAATAATGTAAATTTGAAAGTTTGTCGATGGTATCAAGAACCACACATACATATCCATATCCAACTGTCTTTAGAGGTTTCAAATGGAAAAAGGGGGGGAGGAATGCTGAAAATTGTGCCAAAGGCGAACACTGACGTCTATTATAATATATATAATAATCATTTATTGTATAATATATATATATATATGTATACATGTATGTATATGATAGAATGGTGAAATGACTAGATACACTTATTATTATATATAGTTAATGGAACGTTAAGAAAGGACATAAATTATTATTATTAAGTATGTTTATGTTTGACAATCAAAGATTAGCATAATCATTACTAGTTTAACTATTTGAAGCTATTTTTTCAGATGATTACGTAATTTAGCCTCAAGGCATCTTTCATGAACTTTGGCACATTGAACGATTATGGCTTGAAAGAGTTCTTGAACATTTCGATTTTCTTTTGCAGAAACATTAAAGTGTGCAACATTTCTACCACGAATCAGATTTCTTAAATCATCTTTTCTAACCTATAATATGGATAATGGATTATCATAATGATTCTGAAGATATATGAAACCTCATTCTGAGCTGAGTCACATTTCGTTGCTATTGTTAATAGAATAGCATTTCGTTTTTTATGATGAAAATGATCAATATAGTAAATGAATAGCTTTTCCATCTAAGATATGAAGAAGATGAATGCAAAGATGTATTAGTCATCAACATACCTGTAAGAAACTCAGAACACTATCAGTTGAAAAGATGAATGCAACAACATCTGCATTCTCCAAGTATTCATTCAATAATGGCTTATTGCTTGGATTGAAGTCATGTACTTGAAGAACATATACTTCTTGCTGAAAATGATATTAAAAAATATTTAATTTATATGATATAGTTGATACCTCATAACTGAATGTCACATTATGCTTTCTACAGACGGTTGGTACTGTATCTGTCATGAACTCTGAATGAAACATTCGTTCAATGAGACATGTCTTTCCACTACTTGCTGGCCCTACAAATGCCATCCGAAAAGCTTTAAAGTTTTGCATAACCTATAACATATATGTTATATGTGTATGATTAGATGATTTGAAAGAGAGATTGAATTAGAGATGTAAGCTTCTAATAGCTGATTGAAGAAGAATATGATGAATGAATCAGAAAACAATGTGATTTGATCGAATTGAATATGAAATATCATATAACTCATATTCAAATCAGTTAACCATTTTCATCCACTTAACCGGATTAATATCGTTTTGAAAGAATAATTTTGGTTGTAAATGAATACCAATTAGAGCATCACTTACGTTAATACATTCAAGACGTTCTCAAATCATCTGATGAGCATCACATAACTCATAACGGATTTTGAATGTATATATATAATATATATTATACTATATATGTTATTGAGTTGAATATATATAAAGCTGACTATGTGATATGTTTAAGAAATGGCAACAAGTATGGGAATCAATGACAAAGCATTAGTTGTCCAATAAAAGTTATTCTCACCTTTCAAGCTTAATACCAGATATTTTTTTGAAGCCGCAAAAAAATGTTTTTTTCTATTGATTTGTAATAATAAACGCTGAAAGAAGGGAATAAGAGGCTTTTGAAATATCTTTTTAAGTTGAAAAAGTATATATAATAGCTTGATCTTTCATATAATTAATATCTATATAACTATATGAAGATATATAATTGGTCATCTCTTTACTATATGAGATGGATAAAGAGAATTGAAGTTTCTCACTTACTTACTTCATTTCATCTTTATTCTCATATTTGGACCTTCTATAGTAGAACTGTTCATGAGCTGGGTTTTCAGCCAACATATGATACAAGCTGAAAGAGATGACAACAAATCAAAATGAGATAATCACCATATTGTGATTTTGATGGAGAGATGTATGATTGAATGCAACTATCTAAAAGCTTTACTGTCATCAAAGCGTAGACCACCTTGTGAAACTTTAAGTATAGATACATCTGATGGAATGAATGAAGCTCCAACTAGAGATTCATCTGATAGAATGAATAATCAGTTAGATATCATCATCCATATAAGATGTGTACAAGAACTGTATGGAAGATATTGCTGATGTCCGCATGAATCTTAAGTTGGAGCATACGAATCCGAAAAATAGTGATAATACCAGATAATGCGTCCAAATCTTCAACCAACCAATTCTGATTTTTTCAGATCAGACTCTGGAGAGAAGATAAGTTCAGTCTAGCTTTATATCCTTTTATAGCATAACTTATCATTATCAATAGTTATGAAGAGATATAGAAGATGGCTATAGATAGGGACGGTTTCAGCTTTCAGACTCAATAACAATCTGTTTGTAAGACTGATCTTGACACTGAAATGATCTATTTTGCTTCGAGGATCCTAGCAACAGCTAACAGGTAGGTCTATTAAATAAGATCATGAATAAATCTCCTCAACGACCACCCAGTTAACAAGGGATTAGAGTAATAGCTCGATAAGCTCCATATCTATATCTACAACAGGTGTTTCGCAAAGAATTGAAATGTAAGAGTAGTATGATTGTCTTTAGTGAGCTCAAACAGAATTTGGAAATGATAGAGCAATAAACATGAGCTCAGACACCCAGTTGACAATATACAAGTTCTGGTTGAATTGAATACAATGACGGTACGCCTAGTGGTAATACAATGATGGTCCGCGCAGAGTATTGAGGGGTTTATGAAACAAGCGTTTCTGCTGTTCTCTGTGTAAATCACTATGAACAAGAAAAAATCTTATTGAGTAACAAGTGCAACAACAGGAGCATTTTTGTCAATCGCCATTATCCGAATTGTAGACATCTGACCCATCAGTAGAGATTTCATCCCAGGATTCTTCAGCGTCCTCTTCATCCGTGTACAGTTCGTTTGCAAATGCAAGATCAACTAAGATTGATTGTTAAAATAAAATATGAAAACATTACCTTGAAAATTGAATTCATCCGACAAGAAGAAGTGTATGAAAGCGATACAATATAATTCAATGACGACAACTATGAATGGGAAGAATACTATTAGATAGTATGGTAAAGTATATTTCGTATGAGAAGTATCGATGGATGGTTCGCGGATAACTTTCAACATGACAAACTGAAAGGTATTCATCCCGAATAGGTATACGCCCAATACCTTTTGTGATTAACATCCGGAAAAACTGCTACCAATGTCATTCTCATAATCCAAAAACCTATTATCAGTTAAAAAAAGAAAATTAATTCGAGTGAAAAGAAATCTGAAAGATAATCTTCTTGGTATTGTTCATAGGGCAAGAAGCTTCGCTTACAATGCTGAAAGATTCATCTCTAATGCTGGATATTCGTTCGTCCAAAGATTGTTCAGTTTTTTCAGAACTCTAAATTACAATATGAGTGTGATGTTAGCAAGGATTATCCATTTATAGAATGGCCATTCTTTAAAATGATTGAATCTCACAATTGTTTGTGATGAGAGTCTGAAATAATAAATACTTTTTAACAGAGACTATAATCTGTTTGAGACTCACTCAATAGGGATAGAGTCAAGGCTTTAGCAAGAGAGTCCGCTTCAGCCGGAAATGGAATGGCAATGGAACATTTTCTGCTTTTTTCGGTAAACTATAATACTCAGAATATTAAAAAGCTTCTAATAACTATATAAGATGATGTGGTCGTAAGCACATCACTTGGGCTCTTAAAAATAAAATAAAAATTGACTAGACTATATTTATTGAAATAGAAATCTGTAAAAAAACAATTTATATATGGAGATCATGTATTGGATAGAGCTCACAGAGCTCATCAACAGACA